CCCATATGAGCTGCTTCTTCCAGAGATGTCCAATTCCAATGTGACGATGGAATTTCTCCTGATGGGGTTTTCTGATGTATGGGAACTCCGCATTGTGCATGCTGTATCTTTCTCCCTTATGTATTTGTTGACTCTTATTGGTAATTTTCTCATTGTTATTGTCACCACCCTGGACAAAAGCCTTCACACACCCATGTACTTCTTTCTCAGGAATCTGTCTATTTTGGATGCATGCTATATTTCTGTAACAGTTCCTAATTCATGTGTAAATTCCCTGCTTGGGAGCAATGTCATTTCAAGGAAAGGATGTATGCTTCAGGTTTTCCTGGTGCCTTTCTTGGTGTATGTGGAGATGATGTTTCTCACTGCTATGGCACATGACCGCTATGTGGCCATCTGCCAACCTCTCCATTATCCTGTGATTATGACTCCTCAAGTCTGTATCCAGATGACACTGATTTCCATTTTTAGTGGTCTTGTGTACTCAGGATTTCACACAGGGATCACCTTTAGACTGACCTTCTGTCATTCCAATGTTATTGGTAAGTTTTTCTGTGATGTCCCCTCTCTACTAAGACTCTCCTGTTCTAATACCTTTACCAATGAGATCATAAACTATGCATCTGCTTTCTTGGTTGGTGGATTCTGCTTCACGTTTATCATCAGGTCTTACATTCACATATTTTCTACTGTGCTCAAGTTCCCTATTGGAGCAGACAAAGCAAAGGCCTTTTCCACCTGCATTCCTCATATCCTTGTGGTGTCTGTCTTACTCACCTCAAGCTCCTACGTTTATCTAAGACCCTCTGAAATCTTAGCAACCATCCAGGATATGGTGCTTTCTGCATTGTACACCATAATTCCTCCTCTCTTCAATCCAATTATTTATAGTCTTAGAAATGAACAAATAAAATATGCCATCAGGAAATTAATAAAAGTTTAATCAGGAAATGTATAGGAAATAACTTAGACTTACCCTAAACTTTTAGTTGTAATCCATCTATGTTTTCAGAAAAAAAAAAAAATTGAAATTATAAACTGGTTTATATGAAGAAGGATGTGACATCAGGATTGGAGGAAAACTCATAAACAACTTGTGATATGCAGATTATACAACCTTGATTGCTTAAAGGGAGAATAATTTAAAATGCTTACTGATGTAGATCAAAAACAGTATGGGTTGTACCTCAATTTAAAGACAACAAAAATCCTCCCCACTAGAGAAATAAGTAACATCCTGAAAAATGGAAGCTTGAAGTTGTCAACAGCTTCATTTTGCTTTAATCCACCATCAATACTCATGGAATTAGCAGTCAAGAAATCAAATGATGCATTGCCTTAGGCAAATAGTTACCCAAGAACTCTTCAAACTGTTCAAGATCAAAGATGCCAGTTTAAGGACCAAAGTGTGCCTGACCCAAGTTATGATATTTTCAATAGATTCACATGCATGTGAAAGTTGGAAAATGAATAAGGAAGACCATAGAAGAACTGATGCATTTGGATTATGGTGTTGGAGAAATATCAAAGGTACCGTGTACTGCTAGAGAACAAACAAATCTGTTATGGAAGAAGTACAACCAGAATGCTCCACAGAAGCCAAGATGGCTAGACTTTGTATCTAATACTTTGTACAGGTTATCAGGAGGGACAAGTCCCTGGAGAAAGATATCATGATTGGTAAAGTGAAGGACAGTGAAAAGGAGGGAGCACCTACTATGAGTTGGATTGACACAGTGGCAGCCCAACAGGTTCAAGGGCAGCAGCCATGATGAAGATGAGACAAGACTTGGTAGTGTTTTGTTCTGCTGTACATAAGTTTGCTCTGGGTAGGAGCAAACTCAATGGTACCTAACAACAACAATATTTTAAGGATATTATGGAAATCCATTAAAATATATCACTTACCAAAATCTTTAATTTCTATGGATTTTGAAGGATTTGAATTTTCATTTGGGTTGGTGATCACGTATTTATGATAAGCAAGCCTTAGTTTGGCAAGTAAAAAAATTCTACTAAATATGTCAGTCTTAAAACACTTAAAATGTTATCATTCAAAATGTTTTAAGTTAAATTTTATCTTTTGTGTTTATCAACACTGATAAATTAAGAAGCCTTAAAAGAATATTGTATCAATTTATTTTTAAATGACATATTTAGTGTTATAGAAAAAAATTAAAACATGCACTCATTTATTAATTTGCTACTAAGTTTGAAATCATATGTCTTTTGAGGAATATAAAGATATCAAAAGGTATGTTGTGTGAAGGGAAGTTCATATGGTTCATGGAATGTGCATGTATCAGGAGATCAGAACCTCTTTAAACTGCTTATCTTACATAGTATGAAAAAATGGGTAAATAATAATAACACTAATGTTTTGTTTAAAATAAATTGAATTTATTGATTTTACACATGAAAATATGGAAATGAAAAATGTTTTGCTGTTATTTAAATAC